ATAACTCATGCCTCTACCTCCTCCCTCTCCCTCACATAGGCCTTGCTCTCCCTCTCTTTCGCTCTCCCACGCTTCTTTCTTTCTATATATATATATATATATATATATGCATGTATGTATTTATAATTAATTTTTTTTCTAATAATTATATGAGTTAATGTTAATATAATATTAGTATGAAATACTATGCAAAAAAAAAACAATGAATGAAATATCCTTAGTATTACGGCTGCAAGTGAATTAAGCAAAGCCTCACTGACAAAAGCTTGTTCGAATTTTGCTTAAGCTCAATTTGAGCTTGTCATAGTGCTCAAGCTAGAGCCATTTCAATTCACATTTATGATGTTAGTTTTGACTCAATACTTAATTCATTTTGTGTTTATTAAACTTCAAACAAGCAAGAACTAGTTTAAAATATAAATAAACTTTATGTAATTAATGAGTTATAAATCTTAAACTATTCAAACAAGCTTATTGAGGAGCACAACCTGTCTACTAATTAATTTTGAGTCTTATAGAACCATTAATAAGCTTTACAAAGCTTATTAATGGGCAATTTATCGAGATTAGTAAATGAGACTTAAATTGAGTGTGCTACAGACTGAACAACTATTGTCAATGTCTCATTTTAAAAGCAACAACATTTTGCAATGTGCAAATGACAAGAAAGTAGAGTCCATCATGTGATATATTAGAATAAGGAGTAAGTATATTTTGGACAGAATAACTGAGCAAGTTAATTTTCATTGCCCAAACTATATTCAACTCAAATAAAAGCTTGTTGTAGGGCCAATTATTTAGCTGATCACCAAGTTGGATTAGGTTTTGGATAATCTAAACCAGTTATTCTGTCCCAAAGCACATTTCTAATAAAAAAAATAGAGCTCCAAAAAATAATTGAGTTTGCTCTAATGTCATACACATTTATTATTCAATGAAAATGACCAAGCATGTAAATAATTCTTGATAAACCGTAACGAATTTGATAGAAACTCGATGAAATTCTCTATAAATAGTTAGGGATTCATCATACATAAAGCAAATAAGCACATATACATTAACTAAAAAAAGTAATTCCAAAACCACACCAAAACAACAAAAATTCTATTGCAATCCAAAAAAGATCACAAGGAAATTCAGTCAACCATAAACTCAGATAATGCAATATGTTTTCTCCACTACATGAAAACAACAAAACTTCCAGCCTAAATAAAATCATAAGGAAATTCCACAACCACATCAAAATAATAAAAATTTAATTGCAACCTAAATCAGAACACAAGAAAATATTCAATCAACATTATGCGTATTAGCTATTGCAACATATTTTCATCACCACATGAAAACAATAAGAGTTTCAACCTAACCTAAACTAGATCAAAATGAAATTGAATCAACGAGCCAGCTATCTCACTCCTCAAAACCAAACCAGCCACTCAAAACCAACAATCAACAAACCTCTCAAGATAAAAATGAAAATTGCACATACTTAACAAATACTCTGAACTTGGAACGTTCTCTTTAGTTGTTCGCTTAGCGGACAACGAAACACACCATGATGAAATTTGATCTGACAAGTCAAAACAAAGGTTGTATGTGTCGTTCGAAGCAAAGGGTTGAAGACAGGCAAGTCAAATGAAGGACTGTAGCAACAATTAACAAGAAGAAGTCCCAACCTGTAAAGGTTTCATGGGGGAAGGAGATAAGACATAAATTGGACAGAGGCAAAGACAAATAGAGAGATACTTTTTAGGGTCTTAAGGTGTTTTGCGTGGTAGAATGGTAGATAATATGTTTTAGGAATTAGTAGGTAAATAGTGTATATATGTGTGATCCTATATGTACATAAAAAGTTGTACTTTACTTTTTTTAAAATGTTATAATAGTGATATTTTTTATGTGCTATAAGAGATTAAGGTTGTTGAAATGTAAAAATTAAAGTTTAGATGTGAGTTATATACATACATTAGAATTAGATGATATGTATGTAAATGCTCTTGTCTTTATGGAATGTATCTTAAATCCTTTTCCTTACAGAGAAAAAATATTACATCTGGATGATCTACATCTAAATTAAGTGCGCATGATAATATTTAGATGTTAAGGTAGTGTTACAGTATTGTTTTATCAAAATAACACCGCAGTACTCCCAATAACACATAAATACTAACATCCACTGTTGTTATGGCTCGCCTCTTCGATCATCTTCTCCGACCCTCCGACCTCTTCCAGAACATTCAGCCGCTTTCTCCATTACAACCTTCTCGATTTCTCTCGCACCCGCTCCATTCCCCCATCCCTCTGCACTTAAATCCACCCACAGCACTCCTCCCCCTCCTACTCATCTAAATCAACAAACACATCCTCACCTTCTCCTAACTTCGCTCTCGATTGTCTTCTTTCATGGCCTACGCAGCCGCATCACTTGCTTTTTCTCCTTGTTCTTCCCACATTGCAAGGCAAACTGCAAGGCTCCCTCGATCCCCCGCGCTCTTTCCATCTCTTTCCCGCATGATGCGCCGCCGCTCCGTCATGGCCGCTGCCACCGACGAGAAGAAGGAAAACACATCTCTGCAAGTGAAGCAGGAATCCTCCTCAATCGAACCCCGAGCTTCTCGGCGCTCTGCTTTCGAACTCTCACCTTTTGGTAAAACTCCTCTGCTCTCCCCATCATCGCGCTCTGCCTAAAGTTGAAATCTTTTTTGAGCCCAATCTTTTTTTCTGTTGGCGCAGGCTTCGTTGACTCGCTGTCGCCGATAAGAACGATGAGGCAGATGCTTGACACCATGGACAGGTAGGAATGTCAATTTTCGTCTGCGGGTAGGATTTGGGTCTGATTTGCAGGATCAAGTTTTGACGCCCCTGTCATATGGACAGGATATTCGAGGACGCGTTTGCATTTCCTGGGACGACGGCGGGGGAGGTGCGGACGCCATGGGACATAAAGGAGGACGAAAAGGAGGTGAAGATAAGGTACGATATGCCGGGACTGACTAAAGAGGAGGTGAAGGTGTCGTTGGAGGACGACGTGCTGGTTATTAAGAGCCAGCATAAGGAAGAAGGTGGGGAGGGGAAGGCAGGGGAAGATGGGTGGTGGAGGGGAAGCAGTGCTAGTGCTTACAACATACGGCTGGTGCTGCCTGAAGCATGCGAGAAGGAGAAGGTGAAGGCGGAGCTTAAAAATGGGGTTTTGTTTGTTACGGTTCCGAAATCGAAGGTGGAGCGTAAGGTTATTGATGTGGAAATTCAGTGAGCGGAATTGGTTTGTGCTTCGTGTGGGTTGGGAAGAAATGTGTTGTTTGGTCATGAATAAATATATATGCGGCTTTAAGTGCAGAGTTTAGTGTAGAAAACACTGAAAAATTATACTGTTTGTTTGAATGATGCAGGGGTGTGAAGGGAAAAAGAATATTGAGAGACTTCGGACGTAAAGTTACGTTCGAAATAACGTATGTGATGCATCAAATTGAGCTGAGAAAAAAAAATGTCTGTGGTGTATTGTGTTCGTTGTCAGGATGTAGCTTGTGTCCGGAATCCAGAGTCTATATTTTATCATATGAAAGACGTTCATAACATTTTTGAATTTGAAATAACCTCTTCCTATTCGATCTACTCCTTCGCCTGCTTCACGCTTCACACTTCCACTCACTCTTGCCACAATGTAATGAAAACATAGACTTTCAAACAACGAAATAAAACTTTTTGAACACTTCCCTTTCCCCCAAAACCTCTCTTTTATAAAAAAAAAAAGTTGGCCAAAGCATCATTGAATCATAGAAAATGACCCATGTTGATAGGGAGTATTGGTGCCCCACTATATAGCGCTACAACACTACTACCCGGGGTGATAATGTTAGAACTGAGCACCATCTTTTCTTGAATTTGAGATGTTGTGCGAGTGCTTGGAGTGACTACAACGCTACTCTGGAGTGTGTTGGAGCGCTCATGTATGGATGGTATATTGCTGAACTCTAGCGATGTAGTGTTATACTCTGTAGCACATTCACCCAAACTTACACATTATAGACACAATTATACAAAAAAAAATAGTATAAAAATGGTATAAAATGAAAGAAAAATGTCTTATTAGACACTAATTTTCATACTTGTCACATTCACCCAAACTTACATATTACTTGCTCTGTAGCAGTTATATATACAAGATTATGATGTAAAGCAATTTGGTAACTCTTATCCCCTAACTTGTTATTATTTAATAATATAATAAATATATATAATAAAATAGTAGTAATATTATTAAATAAATTAGATAATCTTAATTGATAATATACTAATATTACTCATTAATATTCTATTAATATAACTATCCTTAAATCACCCATTGCATTTTTACCAAAACAACTTTGAGTTACAAGTATATGTAAACTTAATTATTTATCAACCAAATAACCTTACTTTATATATTCTCATTTTAAATATAATTCTCTCATTCAATCAAGAAAGTTTTTTTATTTTTTTTTACATTGGAAATAAAGATTGACATCAATTTTTAACTTTAGACTTAACCTTAAGCTTATCATCATATACTCATGTACTTCAATCTCTTATTCTTTGAGCCTTCTAATAATTATTATATCTGATTAAACTTATTTAATAATTCTAAATATCAATCCCTTCACTAATTAAAATAATTAATTATTTTCTAATTATTATTAAAAATATCATAATCTAAAATATACCAACTTTCATAAAATAATGAAAGAAAATAGGAACTACAATTCACATGCTAAAAGAGAAGGAAAATAACACAAGTAATGAATTGTTATAACAGAAGAAAAAATAACATATGTAATAAAAGTACAACAAGCTGCAAGTAACAAACTATTGAAATAATGTTGAAAAAATAACATATAAAACTCCACAAAAATCACATAGCATTACAAAGATCATTAACTTTGGAAAATTAAAAGTATAAATCCTCATCACCCTCATTATCACCCTCATCCTTCACAGGCGAGGCAAAGGCAATGTAGTGTCAAAATTCTAGGGTGTCAGGAAACTGAATGTCATCGGTGCCCACATTCAGCTAATAGTGATGCAACATGTTCATAAGGACTCATGTTGCAACTGATGCTAATCCAATGTGGTGGTTGAGTTTCTACCCCATGCCTCATTGTGATTATTACATGCTGGAAATATTCTTGCTCAGACCCTAAATTATCTCAACCATTGAGGAGGTGGAAGGTCCGGAACGTGATGTAGCAGGGCGGGAAGATTTGTGGAAGATTTGTGGAAATTAAATAATTCTTAGTCATCTCACGAAGATTTGTGGAAGGCAAGAGTTTAGCAGAAATAAAATACTGTCACGCATTCAAATCTTTGGTCATGGCTGAGGCGGGAAAATTCATGGTTTTTTGAATGCTAATCCGTTAGCGGGCTCAATAATTAGTTAGAAAATTTATGATTTCCACATGATCAAGCTCAAATGCTAAAAATTGGAAATAATCGACATTAGGGATGTTAAGGAGTCCAAAATTAAATTTGATTGTGGAAGGATCAAAAGGTACCTACTTATTCCACACATATACCTTGTCATCCTGTTGTTCTTTCACATTTGCAAGGAATTATTGGATAATAGAAATAATAGTGGTGTAAGTTTCATAATAGAATTTGAACTTGTCCCTCTTCATGATCACACCTCGCTGTGAGATGAGCTTTTTGAAGCAATGGTATCATTTTATTGACCGATAGCATAGGCACCAACAAATTTCCTTGCATAAAAAAAGGCTGGAAGTTTGGCTTCTTTGGTTGAACTGAAGCACCGGTGCGCCTTGTACATAATAAATTTAACCACTGTGGTGTTGGACAAGACTGACAGAACTTCCCAATCAAAAAGTCAGCAAAAAAAATCGCCCCAAATTTAGAAAACATGTGATTTTAATGAAATAACTCCTAGAATTGACATATTAGAGTGTGTGATATACAATTGGATTTATATTTATATTATCATTGCAGTTATGGAAATTATAGTGAAAAAAAGAATACTCTTTTTTACATGCTACAGTTTTCCGACGATTATCCGACGGTGTAGCCTTTTGTTTGTGTTAACCGATGATTAACCAACGAGCAAGCGAGGCGTTGTCGGTTACTAAACCTACGAATTTACTTGAGAGCAACCAACCTTTTTTTTTTTTTTTTTGGAATTAACCAACGGCTTTTGCCCGCGGTTAGGTTTGCCTTTCGATTAGGTATCCTACTGTTAACTGACGGCTAACCAATGAGAATGTTTTTCGACACTAACGAACAACTTGTAATCCTCAGTTATGTAATGAAAGGTTAATTGATAGCTTACCGAATGTATGCTTTAAACATAATGCCACGGGTATTACCCGTCGATAAGCCACTGAAACGTTCCAAGTCGTTGGTAATGTTTTTGTTAATCAATGCTCTTTTTATATTTACGGGCGACATTTGAGAATTGTAAGTAGAATGAATTCCTGTAGTTACTATAGGAAGAAAGGTTGGATGCATTCCTCCACTTCAACCAACCAACTTGAAATCTACTAATCAGATCCCCATCTATTTCACCTGAACATTGAACGAGAGATCCGATATATTTAAAACGTTCACAGCTTTAATGATTTGATCACTCATAGTTACAACTCTGTCACTAGAGTTACTACTACTAAAATTACATTTCATGTAATCAGTTTTAGATCTGCTCAAACGAAAGCGTTTAGACTATGATGTCGACTTCCATAAGTTAAGTTTTGGGGCGATTACATATAGGGCAACCAAAACATTACTATTTACAGATCAAGCACACTCTTTTTCATCCATTTTTCAAATTCTCACTCAAATATCAAAGTTCATGATAAAGCCCTATACTATATTTTTTTATTTTTATGAAATTCACAATGGTTTAATCGTGACACACGTAAATGCATCACTTTTTCTAAACTCTTTCATTGGTCTTATCCACAATAAGAATATCACAAGCAAAAAAATAGACCATGACAAATTCTCCTTTAAATGCCTAGTAAGAGCATTCATAACTAAAGTAAAAATGTATGAGCTTAAAGTCGATTCCTGATGTAATCCAACAAAAATATGAAAGTATTTGGTCCTAGCTGCTAAACCCTAACCCCTAAACACATTATTTGAAAATATTTGAAAATAAAAAATTAAATGAAGAGTTACCTTCCTCGATAGTTCCAGGTAGGAGAGGAGCCCAAAAAGGAGAAAAATGGGAGTTTTCGGTCATTGTAAGCCGTGATCCCTCGCCGCATTCCCAGCTAGCTTCTAATAACTCAATCGTGAGGGTTAGGCAACAAAGGGGATTGTTTTAGACGAAACAGAGAGTTGGTGGAGGGACAAGTGGGGGTTTCAGGGAGAAGAGAGGGCTTCGTGCGTAGAGGAGAGGGCTTTAGGTAGAAAGGAGTGAGGGGGGAGGGGATTAGAGCAAATGGGAAAGGATCACAATTTTGGCGGTATAATGAATTATTTTTGACGGCTTATACACTGCTTCAAATCCGTCGATTCTTAAAACTATTATCAACGACAATTTTCATCGCTTATTATAAAAACGCATCAGTTAATACCCATCAAACAACAGTTCAAAGATACCCAATGACAAATGGTCATCAGTTAATATACATTTCTAACCGACAGCTTATTGCTTCAGTAATAATAAAAAACATCAGAAAGATAACTGTTGTTAATAAGTGATGAAAATTTATATTTATGCTGCCGCAAATAACCCAAACATAAACCTTCGTTAGACCATTGTTAATTTATATTATTACCGACGAATAAAACTATCGCTTATTAAAAAAACATGGTAGTTAACAGCTCGCCAAATGAAAAATTCATAGATAACCGACACAATATGGCAGTCGATTATTATTTGCTTATAACCGAATGTATAAGGCATTAGTAATAATTAAAAATGTTGAAAAAAATTTTACTGCTTATCAATGACGGCATGCTATGTTGTTGAGCCGTCGCAAATGACTCAGATCATAAACCATCGCTACACCATTAGAAAATGAAACATTGTTACAAATATGTAGGCCATCAATTTTGCCGCGCTGTCTCTTGTAGTGAGTGAATATAACATCATTTTAACTTTAAAAAAGTGAAATTCATCTTTTCATGCATGGATAAAATGATAAGCACAAAATTGATTTTTAGGTGGCTGTCTCTTGTAGTGAGTGAATATAACATCATTTTAATTTTAAAAAAGTGAAATTCATGTTTTCATGCAGGGATAAAATGATAAGCACAAAATTGATTTTTAGGTGTTAGAGATGTAAATGCATACAGACCAAGTGATATCTATGGAAATCTTTCAGCATAAGAACTCTTTCCACTTCACCAAATATATCTGTATGTGTGTACTAGAAATCACCCAGCATCCAAACATCAAATTAAACTCAGGCGCCGGCACTAACACGCCCAGCAGCCTTAACAGATTTCCTGAACTCCACCAATTTTTCAGCTTCCGGCAGCACCTCCTTAACAGCCGCCGCAGAACAGAAGCGCTCCGCCCACTCAACCAGCCGAGGAGTCTTCGTTTCATCCAGAAAGTTTATGCCCGCCATTGTTTGGCTGGCTTTGAGCCAACCAAGTAAGGAACCGAGTACTATGTCGATATAGCCAATGCTATCGCCGCCGAAGAAGCTCTTCCCTTCGCTGCAATCCAAGAAAACCATTTCCAGCTGCTGAAGCGCGGCGAACACCTTCTCCTTCGCTTCTGCCTTGCTCTCCTCGTTTGCGTTGTCTAGGAGTAGCGGACCCTGAGTCGGCAGCTGCAACGAAGGCAAGATATAAATTATGATAAAAAACATGTAATTACTATTTGGATGAGGAATTAAAACATAGCCCTACTTTCTTTTTATGGACGTAGATAATGAAATGTTGTAAATATATATCTAGATCTAGTGTTGTGTTGCTTAAATGTAATGAGTTATTCATCATTGTTTTAATTGTAGATTAATCACGAATCTCGAAGGAATTTAATGGATTACAAGATAAAAGTGCGATCAAGTATAGACCATCATAAGGAGTCGGGACCAGGTCAGCAGAAGACCAGAGGATCCCTTTGACGGGTCATAGCTCGATCAAAATAGGATTAGAGTCGATGGAACAAAGGTCGCCCGAGTTAAAGATCAAGACCTATCTATTTGAGGGAAGGAACTAATCCAACTCTCATCCAATTATCACCAAACGCCCCACAAGAGTCTCCAACACTCTTCAGAAGGCCGAAGGACCTCATCACCAACAAATCATCCAGCATTCCAGACATATCTCATAAAAAGGGATAAACTATGTGTAAGATTACCGTGATTAACCCTCTGCATAACAGCTTAATTCTACCAGCAACAAGAGTTTATCATCCAAGGCTCAACAGTCCATAGTAGAACCTAGATAACCCACCGATTGACCAAAGCCGACCGAATGAAGTCCGAACGACTGAATGAAGTCTGGATAACCGAAGAACCATCAGGGCTGACTGATCACCCTAAGAAAACAAAGTCAGCCAAATGTACATGTTTGACCCAAGGACTACAAGTCCTCACCAACATAATGATATAGTAGCCAAAACATAGGCTTATTTATTTTCTATATGCCTAAAAAACCCTATAACACCCCCCACAAAATTAGGAGCAACAATGTAATTTCTCACTTTATATCCCATTACCTATAAATAAAGGGTTATTTCTACAATAAAGAGTTAATAAGTGTTCTACTAGATTCTACAGTGCACACTCTTTCACTCTCTCTCCTTGTGTCTCCCGCTTTATGCTTTATTCCTTAGGAGTAATTCATAGAACATATTCAGATTCAATATCCTAAAAAGCACAGTGAGTGTGGATTATACCACCAATAAGAAGAGGAGCAAAAACAGAAGAAGTTCATCAAGGAGACACAATAAACATAAAGTGCACAAAATAATTTGTGCACCAGCAAATCCAGGAGCTAAAGGATCAGATGTTACACTAGATGTTAGAGGTCATCAGAGAAGCAATAGCTGGAAGAAGGAAAAAAACCCTCAAGAAAAACTAGCACCTAACATTTAGACACCACTATTGGCATAGAAAAGAGCTGAAGATCTTAAGTACTAGGATAGTGCTTGGTCTACGATGAGGGATAACAATGGTTTGAGTGTACGAAAGCGCTCTGCCAACCAGAGAATGTGCTCTCTAAATAGATCCCTACTGTTGAATCCCCCAAGAATTTCAAAGTTATGTTACTCAACTCTTAGAAAGGACGGTTTGATCCGACTGATCACATCGTGTCTTTCTAGTCAACCGTTTGCCTGTTGAGGATCACAGACTCTCTGAAGTTTCACCTCTTCTTAACCATGCTGAGGGAGTCGACCCTGGGGTGATTTAATGGATTGTTTGTCGGGGTAATCACCACTTTTGTTTGAGACCTCAAGAGGTTTTGTGAATACCATCGAGACCACAGTCACGCACGGAGGATTGCAGGCACTCCAAAGCCCGGTTGAGGAACTAATCAAAGCCGGGAAGCACATAGACTTTGTGGCACCTAGAGCAGCGACCCAGAGGCATGGGAATGTTCTGATAGAAAAAATCTGGGATGAACTCGTGCAAGCGAATGTCATCCACATCATTGGGTTTGTGTCAGCAAATTTTGAAGGATTCAAAGAGGCCTCTAGAAGCGAATCTAATCATGAGAACTTTGCACAACCACCTTCGCTTTGAAGCACATCCCCAATCCACCAATAATGTTCATTGATGTGGACTTTCCCTCAAAGGAAAACCCATACAATGAGACCGATGTCGTGACGGTGATGATAAGTAATTATCAGGTGTGTTGACACTGACAACTCAATGAGCTTTTTATTAAAGTTTGGTATGACAAGTTGAGCCTCAAGATCAGCTGATTAGTATTGTCGATCGGCCAAATCTATGAAATTTTTGGCAAAAGAAATGAAGCGCTAGGATTAATTGGACTATCGGTCACCTTGTGGGAAGGCAAAACAATACTCTTACATGGAAGATTTTACGGTGGTGGACTCCCCTCTGACCATCAACGCAATATTCAGTTGCTCTCAGCTAAACGATAACTAGTTCATGCTCTCTCTACATACCATATTTTCGTGAAGTTTCCTAGAGACAGAGAAATCATTACAATTCGGGAAACTTTGGATCAGTCCAGGATCTACTACTTTGAAGCAGTTGGTAGGGTGGAGCAGGAGCAGCTCCCCCTCTAAAATAAGTGTGAAAGGGGTATCAAGATCAGTGAGACCACTCTTGAAGTACCTGCAACCGACAAAAAAAATGGTAAATCTTTCCTAAGAATTTAAAACTTTGATGCAGGAATGAAAGATGTGTCGATCGAGACCCTCAGAGAGCACTGTGACATTTTCTCTTGGTCAGTAATCTGATGCAGAGGATTCCACTTGATGTTCCCTGCAATGGGCTAAATATGAACTCGATTGCCCGACCGATGAGGTAGAAGATCTGTTCCATAGAGATGACATTGTCGTAGCGGATTCGAGAGAAAGTCTAGAAGCTGAAAGAGGCGAGCTATATCTAGGAGGTCCAGTACCCGACATGTGCCTCGAACATCGTGATGGTCTAGAAGGCGAAAGAAAAATGGAGGATGTGTATGAACTTCACCAACCTGTCTGCCTGAACTATAACTACCCACAACCAAGTATCGACACACTATTGGACTCAGCAGTTGGCCATATCATTTTGGATGCATTCTAGGACTACTAGTAGACCAAGATGCACCCAATCGATGAGGAAAAAAATCTCTTATTACTAAGAGGCGTGTATTGTAAAAATGTAATGTCCTTCGGGCTCAAAAATGTTGTAGCAAAATATCAACATCTCATTGATGTAATATCTTCTAATCAAAAGGGTAAAAACGTTTAAGTGTATGTGAATGATGTGTTATTTAAAGGTCGATTGGTTAAACAATATATAAACGACTTTAAAGAAACTTTCAAACCCTTTAAAAATATGACTTGAGACTTAATTTGATAAAGTGCACCTTTGGTGCCTTAACAGACAAATTTCTTGGCCGCCACCTAACCACCAAAGGCTTAAAGTTCAAAATCGATAAAGTGTGGGTATTATTGGACATGGCTTCCCTCTGGAACAATGGAAGTACCAAAACTAGCTGATTGAATAGCATGATTTAGCCGTTTTATTTCAAAATCAAGGGACAAGTGTGTTGCATCTTTCAAAACCGTCAGGAAAACCAACAATTTTGAAAGAACAACTGACTGCGAGCAGGCAGTCAAAAGTTTGATGAATTTCTTGGCATCACGAATGTTCCTACAAAGTTCGAAGCTGAATGAATAACTCTCACTTTACTTGGGAGTGGGAGCTGAGACTGTTAGCTCGGAGCAGGTCTGAGAGGAGCTGAGAAAGCAATTTTCTGTTTAATATGCCAGTCGGGTCCTTAGAGATGTGCAAATCAAGTATCCAATCATAGAAAAGCTAACATTCACCTCGAATGTTTCAGCACGCAGATCTGCTATATTTCCAAATGCACATGATCTGGGTCATCACTGACCATCCCCACAAGTTCGTGCTCACTAGGTCGGAACACAAGGATCGGCTACTCAAATGGGCGATGGAACGCAGTGAATTAAAAATTACCTATATCTCATGACAGCGATTAAAGCTTAGGTTGAGCGAAATTTTTGGAAGTTTTTTTCGAAGAAGGCAAGCCGAACGAAGGAACAGCTGCCAAGGGCATGGCTATATGAGGCTATGGGTGGTGGTGGTAGCGGCAAGAAACATTTTACATAAACGGTTTGTCTAAAATTTGTCTAAATTCAAGAAATTTCAAGCACATTAAAAATGAATTAGAGAATACATACATTTCAATTGCGTTATAATTTTACACTGTAATTGTAACTCATTTGTCTAAAGACTCAACTTTTGAAAGTTTTGCAAATTCAAGATTGACGTGCACTTCTTTTATGGAAAATCAATAGCCCTTTTGAAATGTTTAAAATTTAAAATTTTAACAAGTATTAGTTGGCTCCTAAAGAATGTTAAAGGTTTGGATTCAATTGCCTTTTTGATAAAATGTGTATAAAGAACTCAACTATATATAGTTGTCCATCTAAACAATGAATTTGGCTTTAAGTTGAGGGCTTATGCCTTCTTAAATATTGATATATAACTTGTTCATATATGATATTTTAGAGAGCTTTAACAATGTTCCCTCGAGTATGCACTCCTTTCTAGTGATTATTTTATTAGATCTTTTGAGGCACATGATAAAGAAATGATTCTGTGATGAATGCATAATTAGAATTGTTACCAAAAAAAATTTGATGTAGAAATTAAACAAACACTTAAAAAATAGGGTTAGCTACTTATGTTGAAAATATATACATATGTCTAATTATAAATGGTGAAATTTAAGAGGATTTAGATGAAATAAATAGAGTTATTATGTTACCCTCATTGTTGCAGCCAAAGAGGGGTGTCCAAGGAAAATTAGAAGGCCTTAATGTAACATTAGAAATATGATGTGAGAAGTTATAACATATGTAAGGTTAAATAGCCTCTATCTTCATTATAGTAGCTATTTTAGTCTTATTATTATTGTAAGAAAATTATAATTGCTTAAATTTAAGTTTAATTGTATTTGAATAAGTTTCAAACAAACTCCAATTTTTTTTTTAAATATGATCAATCTTGCTTAAACAAATTTTTTTTTATATTTTTGATCGATCCTATATCATTCAAGGCGGGCTTTAAGTATAGCCCGTAGTAAAGCTCACACCTAAACATAGTTAGATTTAAATATCATGTGTAGTACACAATTCATCTGTATTTACATGTCTCACATCAGAACTTTCATATTTACACTTTAGTGCTTTAAAACTTTTCATAAAAAGGTGTATTTGATTTTTAGGAAGCGATGGTAGTGTTATCTTTGATGTGATATTAAAGATTTGAGTGATATGTGTGTAAATATGAAAGTTTAGGCATGAGATATGTAAAGACATAAGAATTGTGTAATATGTATCTAAATGCCCCAAAAATAAAACATTTTTATCTAAAATAAACTTTCAAATATATTTGTAAATGAAAAAAATAATATGTTTTTTCTTTAATTATTTACAATTATGAAAAAATAAAGCCAACTTATGGCAAAATGATAAATGGCATGACACTTGGCCTCCAACAATAGAATCATTAAGTCAAGTATATACAAATGTGTGAATAAGTCCAAAATTAAACTCACTCAAACTCCTCAAACTTTTGAAAAACAAAAATTATTTAAATGGATGTAGCCAAAAATATTTTCTATCACATGCATGATAATTAGATTATATATATATATATATATATATATCTATATATATCTATGTGTGTGTGTGTATCTATCTATATATACAGGTAAAAGAAAGTGAAAATTACGGATAAAAAAGCGAACATTAATTTGAAAGTCTAAGATAATGTTATTTATGATATGCCACCAACAAATCATCGTTATCAAACACGAATCTCAAGGCATGACATGAATCTCAAGATAATGTTTTGAATAAGGGATGTTCAAACCTTGAAAAAAACTCATCCAGAGCTCTCATTTCAACAAACTTATAGTCAAATATACTTGCTTTATGAGACAGACCTAATGATATCAAATTTGTTCTGTTCCGAGTCAAATCAAACCCGGATCAAGTCATTAAACCATTCTTAGAAGTTTTTTCAGACACATTTGAAAGATCAAAGAGTTGACGAATCTGACAAGTTTATAGTCGAATCAAGCGTCTCGACAAGACAAATTCAACGAGCCCAATATTGCACAATTCTGACATAGTTAAAGCACTCAAATGTCCATATACGTCGTTTGATTGAAGGAAGCTCTCCGGACCATCCAATCAAAATGACGCCGCTGCCATAGGAATCGGCAGGAAGGATGGGCGCGCAGGCAGAGGGCCACGCCTCATCGATGTATTGAACGATGAGAAGGGACTCGCAGATGGGCCTGCCGCCATGGATCAGGACGGGGAACTTCTTATAAACAGGGTTGGATTTAAGGAGAAGCTCGCTCTTTTGGCCGGCGGTCGGCTCTTCTTGGAGAAAATCGTACTCGATGCCCTTCAGATTTAGGGCTATCCTTACTCTCACAACGAAGGGGCTCGCCCAGAACCCGACGAGCTTTACATCTTCCAGGGCTGCTGCCATTGATTCGCTCTGAAGTTCAGATCTGAAAGTTGATTGACAAGGAAAACGGGGGATTTATTTCTTCTTGATTGAATATGAAGCTCGGAAATGGGTGAAATTAATAGTTAAAACTTTTTTTTTTCGTAGAACTGTAATTTCTATGAAAAATTATTGCATACAGAAATGTCGGTGTCCGATTTTTATAGTAGATCATGATGATCTACGATCATGATGTATTTCAGTGGGTTTTACTTAAAAATTCTTTTTTTAAAAAAAATAATGAAATACATTCTGCAGATCTATGTTCAGGATCAGACACTGCATGCAGTATGCATCTCTGAATACGGTGTCGGCATACAATATTTTTTTTATTTATATATATATTTTTTATTTTTATATATTTACGTAAGGCAATGTCTAAATTTCAATTTATGTGAGATATATAAATACAATGTTTGGGCAGTGGGCATGTAAATATTTTTTTTATTATTATTTTTTTGAAAATTTAAATACATGCCACATAATATTAACCTGATATTTAAAGTTTCATGCGTTTGTACTGAAGCTCGGAAATGGGTGAACTTTTTTTTTTCCGTAGAACTGTAATTTCAACGAAAAATTATTACATACGGAAATGTATGCGGTGTCCGATTCTTATCGTAGGTTATGATGATCTACGATCAGGATGTATTTCGGTGGGTTCCACTCAAAAAAAATTTTTCAAAAAAAAAATAATGAAATACATTCTGCGTGATCTACGATCAGGATCAGACACCGCATACAATATACATCATGCGTTGTCAGCATACAATAATTTTTCCATTTTTATATATTTACATAAGGCAATGTCTAAATTTCGATTTATGTGAGATATATAAATACGTAATGTTTGGGCAGTGAGCATGTAAATATTTTTTTATTATTATTTTTTTGAAAATTTAAATACATGCCACATAATATTAACCTGATATTTAAAGTTTCATGCGTTTGTACGAAATTTTAAGTATTAGATATATAAATATTTTCAACGGCACCCACATCCTATCTCAT